CTTGCTGTTCATGCTGCTGTTTAGATGTTTCAGAAGCTGTGAGAAACGTTTTTTTCTTTTTCTGATTTTTTTTATAAAAAAGTGGTAATAATGCCTTTGCTTAGACTATGTTCAACAAAGTTTTCAAATCTTACTTGATGTTGTTTAACACTGCTGCCTAGATCTAGCAATATACAAAGGATGTTGTGATGAAAACACAATTTACTGTGCCAATTTACTATGTTTTTGTCAGATACTTGTATGTCCGTCTGGATGGGACCATGTCCATTAAAAAGAGGGCAAAAGTAGTGGAGCATTTCAACAGCATCTCTGTAAGTAACATTTCTAGTTTCTGCTTCTTCTCTTAGATTGATTATAGTTCTTAGTCAAAGAACTTTTTAGGCTCATGTGATTTATGCTAGTTAAGATGGGGAAGATATTTTGAGTATGTCTTCCAATTAAATATGTATAGCTTATATACAAAAAGGTTGTCACTTCAATAATCACATTTATTGGTGATAACACTCTTCTTCCCTCTATACCAGTGGTTCTCAACCTGGGGTCCCCAGATGTTTTTGGCCTACAACTCCCAGAAATCCCAGCTAGTTTACCAGCTGTTAGGATTTCTGGGAGTTGTAGGCCAAAAACATCTGGGGACCCCAGGTTGAGAACCACTGCTCTATACCAATGTTTCTCCCCAGGTGTTTTGGCCTACAACTCCCAGAAATCCCAGTCAGTTTACCAGCTATTAGGATTTCTGGGAGTTAAAGGCCAAAACATCTGGGGACCCTAGGTTGAGAACCACTGCTCTATACACATAGGGGCATACATGTAAAATCTATTATCAAGATACACTGCCATTTCACACAATTGTGCTTGATTATAATATGACAAGAGAGCAGGAATGCATTTCTTTCTTGTTTTGCATCCTTACAACCAAAATGTTATACTTTAAATTGTAATGCTTTTAGTTGGTAGTATATTATTATTATCTTTTAGAAAATCCTTGGCTGGTTTTCCACCAGTTAGTGCTTCTTCGATCTCATTATGTGCTTTCATATATCATTAGCTGTATCCTTAGTTTGAATTTAAACAGCCAGACAATATGACTCTGCTTTAATTGTATATTTATGTGGTCAGTGTAATGTTCTCTACTGAGAAGCAGTGAAATTCCATTATCTTGAGTCTGAAAGAACACTGCAAACATCAGATTATAACTTTGTTACTGAACTTTAAAAGTAGTGCAGAGAAGTTTATTTTTTCAATTACTTCAGAAAAGCACTTAATTTTTTTGTTTCCACAGAGCCCTGAGTTCATTTTTATGCTGAGCAGCAAAGCTGGTGGTTGTGGTTTAAATCTGATTGGAGCAAACAGACTTGTGATGTTTGATCCAGATTGGAATCCAGCCAATGATGAACAAGCCATGGCCCGTGTATGGAGGGATGGCCAAAAGAAGACTTGCTATATCTATCGACTGCTCTCGGTAAGATCTGAGTTGGGTCCAATAAACCTAACTGCTATTGGTTATATAGGTAGTGAAGCCCAAGGTTGGAAGCTTCTTAATAATTCAGGCTGGTGGAAGAGTCAGGTCAGCATAAATTGCTTTTTGATTAGCAATGTCAAGGTAGCACCTCCATCAGGGGATAATGATCCCAGATTTGTTTCCTACTGTGCAAAGACTGTGTGGTATCATGACATGCAAAACCTTTTAGTTTATTTTCTTTCATTAAAATTGAGTGTAGTTATTTACTATTGTGTTATGATCAGAGGTTAGAGAAGTTACTTTTTGGACTGTACCTCCCTTGCTTACTGGAGAATCTTGGGATTTGTAGTCCCAAACAATAGCTTTTCAAAGCTTTCTTTATATCATAATGGATATCACCGGCCTATAGAACCGTCTAAAACTTAAGCTGGACAAAGGAAGATTTGCAAGATAAGCTGTATAGGTGTTCTTGAATCTTTATAAAAAATATTTTCTTGTTGAAAGGCTAGAGGCAGATAAAAATGTATGGAGGCTCTTTCCACCTTGCTTAGTAGTTAATGTAAATACTTTGCTTCTTTTGCCTAAGAAAGGTATACATTCTTCTACATTTGTTTAAAGGGAATGTTCAACAGATCTCACAAAAGCACATCATCTCCCTTAATTTTATGCCTATAGACAGGAACTATTGAGGAAAAAATCTTCCAGCGCCAGACGCACAAGAAGGCTCTCAGCAGCTGCGTAGTCGATGAAGAACAGGATGTGGAAAGACACTTCTCTCTTGGAGAACTGAAGGAGCTTTTCACACTCAATGAGACTACCACAAGTGATACTCATGACAAGTAGGTCTTGGAAAGCCTTAGGTGGACTGCTTTATTATGTGTGCAGGAGTTGGGTGATGTGGGTGAAGAATGCATGTGTTTGTGTGCCAATTTTGTTTTTGTAAAGTCCTCCAGAAACAAAAAAAAGACATGCTATGTACCAAGTGCAGGCAGCATCTTTCCACCAAGGGTAGAATCCAGGGTTTTTTTGGGGGGGGCTTATTTCAGTGATGCACAAAATCAAAAAATTAAGACCAAGAAACCTCACATTTTAGTTTAAAGATTTTTCCACCAGTAAGGAAGGCTTGGAAAAGGAATTTCAGCCTTTTTAGAATTGCAGAAAGCATTTACAAAAGTTGAGGCCCACAAAATGAAGCTGTGAGAGAGCTGTATATAACCCCAGAGCATAAGGTTCAGTCTACATAAGGTTCATGACTTCCTGCTAACATATAGTCATGTATTGGAGTTAAAATAATATAAGGGCCTATAATGTTGGTCTTGTGAACAATGGCTTGCATTTTGCAGAGTAGAGATCAGATTGGCCCTGTGTGTGCTGGCACAACATTAAGTCCAATGTATTGGCTGGTTTCCCAAACAGCTGTATAGACTGAAACCCTGCAGATAATTCTAGTATTATGTTTAAATCTTTTGAAGAGACATAAACTGGCTGCTGTTTTATTCTTCACATAAGTTGTCACACCATGTTGCCTTGTAGACTAGAACGTTCTGTTTAACCTGCATAAAAGAGAAGGCTGAGAGGAGACATGATGGCCATGTATAAATATGTGAGGGGAAGTCACTGAGAGGAGGGAGATTCAAACTACAGGAAAAAATATTCCACCTGAACATTAGTAGAGGCTTTCTTTGGAGGCTTTTAAGCAGAGGCTGGATGGCCATTTGTTGGAGGTTCTTTGAATGGAATAGTCTGCTTCTTGGCAGGCGGCTGGACTGGATGGCCCACAAGGTCTCTTCCAACTCAATGATTCTTTGATTCTATAAGTATATATGCTTTCTAGAACGGTTTCACATTTTGCCTAGATTTTTTCTACTCATGATTACTTTAGTTGGTTTCATGAATGCCTTTCTATTGTCCAGTTCCCATTATATGTTTATAGGTTTGCTCTTAAGTTGAATTTGTATGTAAGTTGGAACAGGTATATTTTTAAGTGTAACTTCAGTCAATTATTTCTTTTTTCTTTAGTTTTGGGTAGCATAAGGAAGGGCTAACATACCTGTAATGATTGCTTTGCTGTCTGTGCCCATATTCAGGAGATTTTACCTCACTTTCTTTTTCGAGATAATTGGATTTTGAAAATTTTGTATTGTCGTGGAAACAAGGATTAGTGCTAAAGCTGCACAAAGACACCTTTTCCCTAGAATAACTTTTACAGGAGTGAATTTCCCATCCTAGGGGTATATCCTCTCATTTCTTATCTAACCCCCATTTGTAACTCAGTCATATGTAAGTTGGGTGTTTGTAATTCGAGGACTGCCTGTATAGAGTACAACTTGCATCTACTGTTTTGCTTTTCTAGCTTTATTAAGCTTTGAAATTTAAACCCTTCCAACTAAAATATGGTAGTCTGGAATCAAGTTATGGCAAGTTTTTGGTGCTTGCAAATGTAAGATGCTCTTTGTTGCAGGATCAAGTGTCGCCGCTGTGTGAACGGCCATCAAGTCAGGCCACCTCCAGAAGAGTCTGACTGCACTTCTGATCTATCTCAGTGGAATCACTGTGCTGATAAACGTGGCCTCCAGGATACTATCCTCAAGGCTGCCTGGGATGCTGCTGTCACCTTCACTTTCCATCATCATTCCCATGAGGAGCAGCGAGGAATTCCATGACTGTTGATTTCATCTTCTGAAGCTCAATTTATTTAAGAAAATGTATTTGCTACCACTATGCTGGTTATCTTCATAAGATAAACAATCCCTTCACGAAGAATGTAGCAAAAGAACTTTCTCCTCTGCATGATATATTACAGGCTGCCTTTCAAAAAGACAAACTTGACCAAAAAGCATTTGGCTACCAGATGGACTTGGTGAAGCAGACACTAACCAATACCAGTACTTGAAAGAAATGTTTGTCCTTTAGCATCCATGTACTGAACATTTCCAGCAAGGAAAAGGTTAAACAGTTCCTGATCAATCACAAAAGGCCCTGGTGTCATAAAATATGAGTGGGCAAGATGATGCATCCTCCTCCCCCATATCAGTCCAGTTGATTGCCACTTCCCTAGAAAAAAAGGCCTGTCTAATCATTTGGGAAAGCTGTGTCCCTCTTAACTTATCTTGTTAAGGCAGATTAATATATGAACCAATTTTAATCAGATATACCATAAATTTTAGATTAAAATCCCATTTGGTGACCTCATATCAAAATTACTGTTGCAATTTTTTGTTTTCTACAATAAAGGCATGATTAAAATTAAATTATTGTGTTGAACTTGGTATGTTTGTGGTAGGGAGCAATATAAAAATACCTATTTAAAAACAAGACTGATGAGCTTTCTTTTCCATATGCAGAAAGCTGAATTACGTTCCAAATTTCACTCATATAGAAGCTATACTAACCTTATGTGTGTTCATTTTTGATGTTAGAATTTATCCCCTGGATTATACTATAAAGTCTGAAAAATTAAACTTTTGCTATGTCAAAAGAAATGGTGTTTGTTTTTACTTCAGTTGGCTAGAAAAAAACGGAAATCTAAATCCTGGTATATCACTAAGCAGCTTTATTACAAGATACTGTCCCATAAGTGTGCTTTACATTACACTGATGTAGTCCGCAAAGGCCTGAGATGAGTCCCACGTGTCGCTGACTACGTTGCACATTGCTTTCAAACGCTGAATGGCCTCTTGTGCAGTTGCAGCATCTTGGTCCAGCCAGTTCTGATAGAGGCACAGTTTCATAAACTTGATTTGTTCTCTGTGTTGTGTTAAGTAACTCTCCAGCTTCCTGGCAAACTCCAGGAGCCCATCGGGTTTTATACAGTTGGAGCTGTAAGAGAACGTTAAGATTACTATTGCTACTTACAAAGAGTGAGTGACTCTGGAAGGTTGCGAGAGTCTAACCACCACAAATGCCAAAATTTGCACACAAACCCTGCCACCTGGAAGATGTGAGAGGTCACTTTCACCATGTTTTTGGGTCCAGGAGTGGCTTTAAAAAAAGAGTGCAAGTTGCTTTCTGTTATTAGAAAGGGAAGAAAATGACACCACTGCCCCTAGAGGACCTTTTGAGTCCCACTTGCATCCCATGGGCTTTTCTGCCAACCACCTTCTAAAGCAGTCATGGGCAAACTTGGGCCCTCCAGGTGTTTTGGACTTCAACTCACACCATTTCTAATAGCCTCAGGCTTAAGTGTCAGAGGGGGAAAAGGAAGGGGCCTGAGTTGGAAGTCCAAAACACCCAGAGGGCCCAAGTTTGCCCATGTGTGTTCTAAAGGATACCTTTGCAGAAGTGTCAACCTGGAATTAAATCCATTTCAATCGGTATTGTTGTCACTTAATGAACACAAGCTAAAGCAGATATTGTGAAGTATTTTAATTGCATTGTTTTAAGTAAAAAGAAAGGCATTTGTTGGTTATATCAGTTTTGAATCCCATTCCTGAGATATTCAGTAAACCCTGGTACCTGCCACTGTAAATAGTTAAATGGGAGATACTTTGTGTACTTCCAGTTTGCATTATCACAACTTAAACACTCCTGTTCTTTGAAATTTCCCAAATTTATTAGAAAGCATGCCTAGACAATGCCATGAAGATGAAACTTTTAACAGACCAGGATAAACGCGTGCAGAATCACTAGTCAGAATTGGGTTACAGAAACATATCCCAAACCATGAACATCGTCTGGAACATAGCTCAGTCATGACTAGATAAGGCAGACATCAATAGCTGGAAAGTTGGGGCACAATAAAATGTTTCCAGATAGATAGTGTTATAAATAATGTATTGTCATTATTTCTGTTCAAAGTTTGTAAAATATATACAGCTATAGCTACAAGACTATGCACAAGTTCGCTATGATGAATCAGATAATTTATTTCTGATTAAACTTTCTCAGCGTTGTCTTGTAAGAAACTAATGTCATTATTTTGCCAGCCTCAGGACTTTGAATCTCAGACAGACTGGGCTGAATCAAATGACTACTTGTAAGAGGGTTGCTCCTATAATCAAAAGTAAATTTCCATCCTTCCTATTGCAGTCATGTTTAATTTGTTTCAAAGATACAGCCTTTGACAGGTTTGAAAGATTTGAATTGCCTTGCAGAACAGTAACTAATCACTGGGAGAATGGAGCCCCTGGTGGTGCAATGGGTTAAACCCTTGTGCCGGCAGGACTGCTGACAGAAAGGTTGGCAGTTTGAATCCGGGGAGCGAGGTGAGCTCCCATCTGTCAGCTCCAACTTCTCATGTGGAGACAAGAGAGAAGCCTCTCAAAGGATGGTAAAACATTCGGGTGTCCCCTGGGTAACGTCCTTGCAGATGGCCAATTCTCTCACACCAGAAGTGACTTGCAGTTTCTCAAGTTACTCATGACACAAAAAAACCCCTGAATACTGTGATTTTTTGGAATCTACTTATATTGCTGGAGGAAGCAATCTCAGCCATCATCTTCCCTCTCCTTATACCTTCATATTGCAGGTAGGAACCAGAGGAAAGCATTTGCTGAGATAAACATCACTATTGGCTTATATATCTACCTAGCTGATAAAAAAAAAAGGAAGTTCTATGCAGTGAATGTTCACTCATCGTTTGTTCTGATCAGAGACAAATCATACGGCTTAACAATGGCTTCTCTTAACCAATAATATAGTCTGGATTGATTGGGGAAATTCACTTTCTTTTCTGCTGAAAATGGAGATAATAGCATATACCCAGAAACAGGGCTTAATGTTGAATGTAAATTACCTAGATACATTATACACATCTTTGTAAGTGATAAAAGAAATAAGGATTTGGTAAGATCACATAGCATTTCTGAGAAATTCACAGCAGACAGATTCACTCTCTTGCAAACAGACAACTTTGTTTAAAAATAACTGATGACAATATGAGTTCAAGCGAAGCTATTCCATTGCCATTCTTTTATCCCATTTAAAATGGACTATATAAGTTTCTAGGATTAAGAAAGGAGAAACATACCTCACATCCAAATGACAAATGGAAGATGATGAATCTTCAGAAAAAATGTCAGCCAGTGCCACCAACCTGTGATTTCCTAAGAACGAGAGAAATATAACAAGTGCAAACTATATACACTAGAGGGCAAATATGAATAACGCAAGTCAAGACGAACAGGATAAATGCTGGGAACCAACTGCATGGGAAGCAATAAAATATCTTTGTCATATCAACCTTATTTTGTTTAGATGTGAGTAAACTAACACCAAGTTTTTGCACAGCAATCTTCAGATAATAGGGATTAAAATACTCTGCTTTTGTAACCAGATGAAACAATTCTAAGGAGACGATTTTTGAGTTGTACAGTTCAATGTTTTCACCAGATGAAGATTAGTTTTATTTATATTCTTTTCCTGAAGACTGGGATTCATGGTGACTTACACATCAAAAAGATGTAATTAAATATACAATAAGCCACATTCTGACTGAATTAAACTAAACACCGTATTAATACACTCTAAACATTTTTAAAACAATACAACTTAATACAGTATAGCTCTTTTCCAATTTTAAAATTGTCTGATTAAAACAAAATTGGCCTGCTGAAGAAGGACATCAAAGAGAGGAGCCATTTCAGCCTTCCCAAGTTGGTGGTGGCGGCGGAGGTGGTCCAACATATAACCACTGGAAAAGCTCTCTCTTGTGCTCCTAGTAGCTGTACTTGTATAAGTGGTAGAACCCAGAGAAGGACCTCTCTTGTGGATCTCTGGGTCTAGGCAGCCTTATATTGTGAAACGCAGTATCAGACAGCTTAGGCCTAAGCTACATTGAGCTTTACAGCTCACAATCAAAGGGTCCAATGAAGGAATCAAATTGTTTCTGCAACAAGAGATTGGCAAGGACAGCAAAACAGAGCTGAACTCAACTAGTTTTGCTTCCTGAGAAAACGTATAAGGTGATACACCATTCTTCCAAGAGAATATGACAGTTCAGTCTTAATTGGCACTGAAGATGAGAGAGCAGCCTTGCTTAGGAGGTGCAAAGCAATGTTAAACAAAGAGGAAGGAGGGGCAGGGAGCTTCTACCTTGACAATACTAATCTGCAACCTAAACTGACTTATTACTTGTTTAATAAAAAGAATGCCTCTGTAACCTCGTCTAAAGACAGAACCTGTCTTATTTCCACTGAATGGACAAATGACACTGGGAAGTGTGCTTTGATTGTGTGTTCCTGTAGGGAAGGAGTTGGACTGTGGTCTCTTCCAACTGTATGATTCTAAGATTCTATAGGTACTTCATGCTCTCAACTGGTCCCTGTTATCACTTTTATTATCACCCATCCCATAAGTATCTTCCCTGTCAATCATTCCACATAGCCTTTACATGTCAGTTCGTATTTAAAATAATTTATTTTCCTCTTTCCTCCTTTTGTTTTACATTGATATGCCAGCTGGGCTTGAAAAATGGGAAAGGAAGTAACTTTAACCAAAATTATGTCTAGACTAGGCTAGGGTTTAATGCTAGAGTCCTTGCTCAGAAAGGACAAAAATAAATTATTTCAGGATAGCTAATACATTTGTCGTACATACCCAGCCTATTTCCAGGGAGTTTGAGGATCTTAAGTGATGTGTTCTTTTTAACAACGTTGATTATTTCGGACAGAAATTCAGAAGTACAGTTCTCAAACAGCCGGCAAAAGGAGAATGTGATTTCTATTGTAAGACAAAAGCCAAAGCAAAAACACATTGTTTCCTCTTTTCTGGTCATTGAAATGTCAAATTAGTGTCATTCAATGTCTTCTGGAATAGTCAATACTATAAATTAAAGAGCACAATGATACCCTATGAGTTTATCTTAAAAATATGAACAAATACTCCATTTCTATTCTGGCACTCCAAGTTGAAACAACAACAACAACAACAACAACATTATTGTATCCTGCCACCATCTTCCCGAAGGGACTCGGGGTGGCTTACATGGGGACCAAGCCTTGTCAAACAGAGATTAAAATATAGCACAATAAAATACATATACAAAAAATCATAAACACATAAACCATCAACAATCAACAACCAGTAGCCGAGCACAGTGGGCATGTTCAGAACTGAAAAGGCAAGGCAAGGTTTATACAATACAACTGCAAGGACGGGCTGATAGTAAGATGCAAGAGCCAGATATTAAGTTAGGGCTAGAAGGGCCAAGTCAATTAGTGCTCTACACCTGGAACCAAAGTTGTTACTATCTCAGTCCTATGTGAGGACAATTTGGGATTTGAAGTATTTCAGAATTCCAGGTTTGGGGTACTTAACCTGTACTTACAACATGCAGTCCAACACTCTAACCCAAGATAGAGGAATTGTGCGACTCTCCAGATGCTGGTATGCACCCTACACATTTGTCACTGGCTATGCTGCCTAAGGCTCCTAGGAGGTACAATCCAACATACAATTCCCACCCACTATAACCACTATACTAGCTCTGTAATAGTCTCCAAGACAGAACAATCATGAAACTGACAATCTTCTGCTGAACTAATTTTCTTAACTGCACACAATTGTGATTTCTCATAAAGCTGTAAGCAGTCCGAGGCATGGGCTTGAGTAAGTTTAATATACCTTGAAGGACAGGGTCCTGTAGCAGAAAGAGGACTTCTTTCGAATGACCAGAAAGATTGATGTCATGAAAGCTTAGCCTCTTCAGGCTTGGACTATATTCTGCGAGACAAACAAGATTTTAAGACAAAAAGTTTGGACTGTGTGGTTAAAAGTTTTCTTTTCATCACTATGCATATTGAATACATTCATAACTTCAAAATTTAGAGTTTAACATTTTTTATTTTGCCTAGATTTCACCCAATAATCTCTGATGCTAGACTGACATGATGCAGATATTAATATATTCTGTTCTGCAGTCAAAATGGCTTCCATCATACCTTTGAGGGCACAAAGGAGAAGCTCAACCTCCTGTGGACAGGAAATGGAAGCACTGTCTAGAGAGAGACTCTGCAGAGACCTGGAAGATTTCAATACTGGCACCAGGAGACTCGTTTGAAGAGGTTCCCTGGGAAATCGGATCTCAAGATTTTCCAGTTGGCTCTCTAGACAAGAGGAAGAGAAAATAAAGGCTCTGCTCACTAGCCAAAGCTGTAGTTTTTAATAATTGCAAATCATGCTTTGGGAGACTTTTTGAAACTATTTTTTAAAAAATAGACTTAGGTTCCAAATAGGTTTTTCACCACACTCTTATAGCAATTTCCTCCATTCCAGCAGATGCTGAGGATCTTGAACAAACAGGATAAATTTCCTCCCATACTTGAGGGCAGACAGTACAGAAGTACATTGAAATGCTGAAATAAATTACTGCCCTGTGCAAGGATTGATACAAAAATGTTCCCAAGCAATGCTTTGTAGATAAGCAGAACATTTGAATTATAGACTCATTTTGCGTATGAAAAACCCATGAAATAAAGAATTATAATAAACAGTCAGACCAGAAATATAGAAAAGGCTTAGATAGTTGAGGCTACAAAAAAAGAGCAAAATCAAGTATCTTTAATTAGACCAAGCAAACATTTTTGAAAGCTTCCAAAATCTTTACCTCAGTTTACTTTTCCAATAAAATTTTGAGATCTCAGAAATACGTATTTTTATGCCTTTTTGGTTGGTCCACAGATAAATTCCCACAATACAGAATAAGAAACACAAGCAAATGTAAAAAGCATTAGCATTAAACTAAGCTGCCGCAATAAATCTCAAAACTCAACCCAACCATCACAGTCCATATACCCAAACTAGGAGTGACTCTTGCAAATAGCATTTGCTAGATAGGAAGCTACATTTGACTTGGCCAAATCGTTGTCCACCTAGCCTAGTAATGTCTTTGGCATTCCTAGCTCTTCTTCATCTATTCTCTCAGCCTACAGATTGGATCTTCTATATACAAAGTGTATGCTTGACTACAGAACTATGGCTCTTTCTACTTTCATGAGGGGTGAGTTTTAGTCAGGTGACAAGCTAGAACTAGTAATAATAAATAATAAATCTTTATTTCTATCCAACCCCATCTCCACGAAAGGACTTGGTGCGGCTCACTGCATGAATAAATACAATGCATAATATATCAAAATAGATAAATAATAACAAGGAAACAAATAACAAAATGAACAAATTGAACAATAAACAGTAAAAACATTAATTAAAACACATTGAAAACACAGTGTTTCTACTATATTAAATAAACTAGACAAAACCCAAAATACCCGAGTTTTCATAGAACAAAAAGACCTTGTCCACATTAAGAGGGATAGTATTCATCATTTTCCAAGGTATGTTTGAATAACCTTGTTTTTATATCATTCTGCAAGGTCATGAGGGTGGTTGCTTGCCTGATCTCCCTGGGGACAGCGTTCTAGAGCCAGGGAACCACTCTCCATCTGATCTTAATGCCCGGCTGGTGGATTATTGATTTTTTTCCCCATCAAGAAAAGATACACACAGGTGTTCAGAATGCAATAATTCTTTGTTTTACTTGCAAGTCCAATTTTAATAGAATGTTTGTGGCTGCGTGCAATGAATAATCACATTATTAGAAGAATCCACTGTTTATGGGGAGCATTCAAACTATGTTGTAATTGCACCATGATAGCAGTATATACATATGGTTCTAAACTATCATAGGAACATCTCAAAAAAGTCACACCTAAATAGATTATACATACTGGAACAAGAGTCACATTTTATAGTGCCCAGTTGGCGATGAGTAATCTTTTACCTGGAATTGCTTCTTGTAAGGACAATGAGCCCAGGTTTTCTTCCAGCTTGCTCCATTCTGCTGTAGTTTTGAGATCAAAACCAATCAAGATTGTTTGAAGCAACGGAACAGCAGCCAAAAAGGAATGCACAAGGTTCATGCAGGGGACACATGAGAACATGTCACTAATGCATACCACACGGAGGTTGTAACCACTGTTCTGGGAGAGGGTCCGGAGCCCAGAGAGGATACTCAAAATCCCGGAACCTAGGCCTGGAACCAGAATTTCAAAGACAGAAATAGTCACAGAGCAAGATTACTTTAACCGAAATAGATGTGCACCTTACACACATTTTCAAAAGAGGATCCTGGCACTTCAGGATAACAAACTACTATTACTAGATGACAGAACTCTGAGAAATGTGACATATTTAGGATAGACTAAATCACTAGTTGTAATTTGAGAATTGGATTAAGCTACAATTTCGCACAATCAGTGTAACACTACACATCCTTAAAGCTTAGCCAAATTTTACCTGAATCTGTGTTAGCGATAAAATAGTGTGCTTAACAGGATGCTGGACATGGTGGAGAGAAAAATCTACTTTGCTTTTGTCAGGGGAATATCTTGCCATGAATACTGTCTGCTGTGACAACCCAAAACATTGCAAAATTTTAGTACTTTAGAACAGGGGTATGGAAGCTATGGCACTCTACATGTCGTTCATCTACTAATACGAACTGAAGTTAAACATTTGGATGGCCACAAATTCTTCATGTCTAATTTAGAAGGCACAAAATTGCTACAAACACCTAAATATAAATGTTTGGTTAATTGCTTACCATTTAAGGTAAGAACAAGCTTTTCCAAGGACACCCAAGAACTTAGCAGGTTACCAAGCATCTGGCACATATTCTTAGTCAGAGGGATAGAAAACACTTCCAGTGTGGACACGCTTCGGAAGTGCCCTGCTGTCCTCAGAGAGGGGATGCCAAGAGGTTGGCTTCCTCCTACCCAATCCATACCACTACCACTAGCCACTTCTGCTGAGAAGGGGGGAGAGTTAGCAGGAGTATTTCTCTCCTCTGTTTTCCTTCTTTTGCTATAACATCTCTTTTCCTGCTCTTCTCTTGCAACTGCAAAAACAAAATCATAAAGGTCTTCTGAGTCTTCAGTCACTTTGCTGGACTTCTGATGGCAGCCCTTCTTTGCTGATGCAGCTTTGCGCCACTTCTTAACTCTTCCTGAAGGAGAACCATGTTGGAAGGTGGAAAGGTTCTCATCATTACAACTTTCTGAACATGTACTGTACTGTGCTGTACTTTGGCAAGAACTGCTGTCCAATTTGAAATTTGGTGGGTCTTGAAAATTCTCACTGCTAGTTCTCACCAAACTGTCATGGCTTTCAAAGTCTGAAACTGATTCTTGAGACACAGGGGGCAACATGTCCTCACTACACTGGTCAGCTGAGGTATGAAGCAGCTTGTCTGAATCCTGAGACAATGTAAGCTCTTGATCTAGCGTTTGTCTCTGTTTGGCAGATTTCTCTCTGCAGAGATGACAAAGGTTTTCTTGGTTCATTGGATTTTTTCCAGGATGCCAAACTCCAGCACTTATTTTGAGAACAAGGGATAAAAGAACTGGATTAGGATCTGGCCATGAGGACATTGATAAATGATCCACAGCTCCATGATGAATTAGGCGATGAAGGAACAAACTCAACTGGTGCCTGGTGGACATACTGGAAGAGAGAAGGTGATGAAATGTCAGGGATCTGAGCGACACTGCCAAGCTTTCTAGAACATCCTGATTGTGTTTTGCCATGAGCTCTGAAACACTCTCGAGCATGTTGTAGATGGTAAGCTGGGTAACATGCCGAGAAGTATAAAGCAAGGGCAAAAAGGAAGGGTCATTCAGGCGCTGGTGTGAAGACACATCCAAGATCCCACGCAACACATTTGAGAAGAAAGTTTCAAGGAACTTTCGCCTCCAACACTTGATATTCTGCAATCAGAGAAAACAAAATTACCAAAAATGTCTTAAGCAGCAAGCCCTTACCTGTGTTCATTCTAGAAGAAACCTAACCGATTCCAATTGGGTAAAGCTGTGCATAGAAATGCCAATTAAACCATGGTGGGCATGCTAAAGAGCAATTTTTGTTCCATTCCTTTTTATCATGGTCCCATAATTAAGGAATGACATTTTACAGCAAGTTTGTTTGTTTTTTCCACACTCAATTTTAAACGGATCTTAAAAGATGTGGCTGTTTTTGACTGCTTTAACCTGTGGTGGCCTATATTCTTTGACTTACAGTTTAATTTGTGGCTAAAGGTTTTATAGTGTTGAACAAGTTAAGTTTATTTTTTTATTTTTGCCTGTAAATTGGCTTGAGAAGGTTTTTACCTTGAAAGATGGAATAATTGGGTTTTTTTTTTCTTTTCCAAAAGATATGGGTTATTTCAGCAGGCAGTCAAGGAGTAGGGCAAATATTCAATCTCCTTACAACTGTGGAGATCCATATGTTTAAGCTTCTAAAGCAGATGTGTCAAACTCATTTTTATTTAGGGACACTTCAGGTTTATGGTTAATTTCAAATGGTAATTGAATGCATGGATACAGACAGCCAACTATAATTATTTTTACATAGTTGTTGGTGCTCTCTAGTTTTAAACAAATTTGAGTCCCCGGGTGTTATTGAATGACAACTCCCATCACTTTTCATTACATATCCACAAGTCTTGTATCTAAATGCAAACCCCACTATCCTGACTAAATAGGAAAAACGGCAGCCTTCCAGAGGTTACTGTATCTCAACTCAAAACATGATGTGTAATGATGAGGAATACAGGAGTGGTAGTCCAGCATCTGGTGGGCCTCATAAAATGACATAGATGACCAAAATTGGCCCACAGGCTTGGATTTGACATATGTATTTTAAAGTTCTAACTAAATAACAGGCCCAGAAATAAAGCATCATGAAGGGGTTTGGATTTGGGTCTATTGTGTCCCAGACTGGTTAGGTCATGACTCTTGTTCAGTTTTGCCACAACAGACTAATCTGACTATCCTTGTAAAATGGGCAAGATTGTGGCTTGTTTTGAAACAGAAACAATTAGTTACATGCACTGATAAATAAAGACCATTAGTAAGAGTGATAATATCTTTAAATGAAAATAGAAGACTACGCTGACTGCCCTCGGTAAAAGTAACCGATTTCTTGTAGTTTTCCAGCAGCATTATAGAACTTGGCAGAGATTAATAACCAAATTGGACATTAATGAGGGAAGGTTGGTCTAATCAAGCCAGTCAGTTATGTGTATGTGAGTTAACCTACCTCTAATCTAGAAGGTCTTGTTTTGATGATTTCAAACCACAGCTTGCACCATATAGGTTGGGTTGAGAGTCCTGAAAAATATATATAGCACTTTTTTTTTACAGAAAGGACTATGTTGCAGTTAGTTTTACAAAAATATGATTTACTATAAAACTTGATCTATAACACATTAAGATTTTTCTCCTCCACCTACTTAAGAGTCAATCCCATTTAATTCAATGGGATTTCCTTTTGAGTAGTCACACACATGCCTTATTCGGAGTATGTATCAACACACTGTAGGCTGCAATCCTCTGTCATTTATCTGGTTGCAAGTGCCACCAAAATCAATTATACTTCCTTACTGGTGAGCTGATGATATGTACAGGATTAAGCATTCAATATCTAACAAAAGTTGTTCCTCTGCACTCTTGTAAGATTCATCATAGAACACCTATTTCAAATTTAGACTGAACATTCAACATGCAAATTATTTGTATAACTTTTGTTGCTCCCTTTTCTTCTCACTTTCACAGTCAATCCCCCGCCCTCTCTATTTATTTCAGGAGTAGTCATGTTGGCCATGCAGCAAAATATGACAAAATCCACATTGATTGGGTCAAGCACAATATATAAAATACAGTGTGCAAGGTTTCAAAACTTTACTTCCTGGATTTCAAAATACCAAATTTAGTTGCAACAAGGCAATTGTAAACATTGGAACTTGATTCTTTTGAGTTCTTCTATCTCTAACAAAGATAAAACTCTTTCATTATGGAATAACAATTTCACTATATAGAACCTACAATTTCCCAGATGTACCAGTACAGAGACTCATTGAAAAATTCAATGCTTCTTTGCCTAAGAAAGGAGCAGTTAGTTGAAACCTGACAAGAGCTGGATTTCAAGAGAACTTATGTTTCTGTTGCTGAAGTTGAAATTTTATGACTATGTCTTTCATTGTTCTCACATGGCTAGAACAGGGACCTCTGCCTGCTTTGAAATCCCTCAAGACCATCTGAACTGACATCTCAAACAGAATGCCTGTCACAAACAGTATCACCATTTTGCTCCTGTATGATTTTTAACATCTTTGCTTGATGATGAAGCCACTGAAATTCCAAAAGCTTGCAAATTGAAGTTGGCCCAATAAAGGTGTCACTACTTTTCAATTTTATAATGCATACTGTTCTGTTATGCACAAGACCTGATATTGAGACGTGTAGCACAATTTTGAAATCCAAAATGAGGAAGCCAATTTCATCAGGAACTATAGTGTTGAACATTATTTATCCTTCCTCTAGTACATCTTCCAAAATAACTGACCTTTCTTCACAGCAGTCGCTTCAATTCGCTCCAGATAGTAAATGTTAAGGAGAGGCAAGATGCCCTGGAGTACTGGACCCGGAAGTGCTTTTGTGGAGAGAAGACAAAGCCAAAGTTCAGTCACTGACACAAAAAAAACCCAACAACAAAACAACAAAAAACAAAACCAGATACAGATGCATTTGCATTTTCACCCTTGTGAAAATCTCTTTCATTGTGTCTAACATAATTTAACTCTTTAGGACAGGGGTCCACAAACTTTTTAAACAGAGGGCCAGGTAACAGTCCCTCAAACTGTTGCAGGGCTGGATTATAATTTGAAAAAAAAACCATGAATAAATTCCTGTGCACACTGCACATATCTTATTAAAAACAATGCAATTAAAATGAAGAACAATTTTAACAACTATAAACATATTAGTATTTCAATGGGAAGTGTGGGCCTGCTATTGGCTGATGAGATAGGAGTGTTGTGTTGTTGTTGTTGCGTGCTTTCAAGTCATTTCAGACTTAAGTTGACCCTGAACGAGGGCCGGGTAAATGACCTTGGAGGGCTGTATCCGGCCCCCGGGCCTTAGTTTGAGGACCCCTGCTTTAGGACATACTGTATAAATAAACATCCTTTGAAAAAGAGTACACATGCATGATCCCATATCCATGGGAGATATGTTCTAGGATTTTGTGTGGATTCCAAACTGTGGATAAAAACGAACCCTATTATTGTCAATGGGACAAACAATAGAGAAAGTGAGATGAGGCTGTGGTTTGTACAAGAGGCCCTAAGAAAATAAGTGAGACCATGGATAAGTGAAACTGCATATATCGGTTGGGTTCATATAGTCGTCCTAACCATTTTGTGGTTCTGACTTTTGCAGATTTGACTATTCATAGATTAGATTGTAAATGTTCTCTAGGGCTCCTTCCATAGAGCCATATAACTCAGAATATCAAGACAAATAATCCACAATATCTGCTTTGAACTGGGGCCCCTTCCACACAACTAAATAAAATCCCACATTATCTGCTTTGAACTGGAATACATGGCAGTGAGGACTCAGATGAACCCGTTCAGAGCAGATATTGTGGGAATGTCTGCCTTGATATTCTGTATTATATTGTTGTATGGAAGGGCGCTCAGATATCTGAGTCCACACTGCTGGATAATCCAGTTCAATGTGGATTTTATACAGCTGTGTGAAAGGGGCCTGGAACTCTTTAGGTTCACTGCTGTTTCTGATCAACTTCCTCCACAATCATGCTGAAAGGCCTAGAGATTTATAGGGAGATCACCTCTCGAAGGCTGCATCCATATTGTAGAATTGATGCAGTTTGACACCCCTTAAACAGCTATGGTTCAATGCCATGGAATCCTGGGAGTTGTAGTTTTGGTGATGCACTAGCACTCTTTGGCAGAGAAGCCAAAAGACTTCACGGAATCACACCTCACACAATTCCAGAGCATTGAGCCATGGTTGTTAAATGGTGTCAAACTACATTTGTTGTTGTTGTTGTTGTTTATTCATTTTTATCCCACTTTTATTCCATGGGTGGGACTTAATTCTACAGTGCAGATGCACTCTAGTTTTTCCAATGCAATTCTGTGGTCATCTTCCTGCAGAGGTTGACTACAGAGTCAAGCTGGAAGACACAGAAATTCATAGAGAGATGTTCTCTCAGGTTAAAAAAGAAAACAACTTCTTCATTTGCAGTTTCCTATTGTCACAGGAGCCCTGTGCAAATAGGGAGGGATGACTGTACTGTCTTTACCTTCATGCCACCTGTCAACAACATGATTTTTGAATGGATTTCATTTGGCAAATAATCCCCCAAAAGTAGTTTTGCCCATTCTTTCCTCTGAAATATAACTTGGTGTTTGGGTTGTTGTAGGTTTTTCCGGGCCATATGGCCATGTTCTAGAGGCATTTTCTCCTGACGTTTCGCCTGCATCTTTGGCAAGCATCCTCAGAGGTAGTGAGGTCTGTTGGAAGTAGGAAAATGGGTTTATATATCTGTAGAATGACCAGGGTGGGACAAAGGACTTTTGCTACTTTTCCTACTTCCTACATTTTCCTACTTCCAACAGACCTCACTACCTCTGAGGATGCTTGCCATTGATGCAGGCGAAACGTCAGGAGAAAATGCCTCTAAAACATGGCCATATAGCTCGAAAAACCTACAACAACCCAGTGATTCCGGCCATGAAAGCCTTCGACAATAACTTGGTATTTGTTGGGGGACTCCCACCCAAGTACCAACCAGAGGTGACTCTGCTTAGTTTCCAAGATTAGGTGGGATCTGGTGAATTTAGGGTATTGAGGCCTGGTGTGGTGGAGGCCGAATCCACCTGGCAAAATCTCCAGGGGATCTCCCAACGTCCTTTCATGAATTTCAAAGGATGAGAAAGAAGTTGCCTTATGATAGTTCAGTTCTACACTGAATGAATGAATGAATGAATGAATGAATGCAGTTTGGGACCATTGCCATGACTCAATGCTGAAACCTTTGGGAGCCGTAGTTTCACAAGATCTGTAGCTCTTTCTGCCAAAAAAAGGGCTGGGGTCTCACTAGAATACAATTCCCATGGATTCCTGAGCCATGGGGGTTAAAGTGGTGTTAAACTGCATTAATTCCACAATATAGATCAGGCCTGGGCAAACTTGGGCCCTCCCTCCAGGTGTTTTGGACTTCAACTCCCACAATTCCTAACAGCCTACAGGCTGTTAGGAATTGTGGGAGTTGAAGTCCAAAACACCTGGAGGGAGGGCCCAAGTTTGCCCAGGCCTGTGTGTATTATTTTGTCCTTTTTTTCCTCTTCTTACCCCAAACCTCTTTCTCCACGTGTCCCATGATGGAGCTGACTCTCTTCCCACTGAGCTCAAAAAGGCTGAGAGGCCCTCGCTCAGTCTCCTCCTCAGACTCGGCCTCCATGATCGCCCAGGCGACAGCAACCTCCTGGAAGAACTTGGCCGGGTGACGCCATCTTGGGAGGGTCCCTCATTGTTAGGTGGAGGCGTGATGCGGCCGCCATATTGAGGAGGTCGGCCATCTTGGTAGAGACGAACGCTTCCACCAACGCCGGCGGAGTAGGGAAGGGGGAGGAGCCACCTGAAGGTCGACCGGAAGCGTCCCTCGGATAGGGCGGGATATCCGTTGGAGCGTGCGTGGGATGACCCTTGGGCGTCCTTCTGAGGCTTCAATTCAAGATGGGGAGGCAGGATGAGGCCGCGCTGGAGGGACTGAACGGAGACCCGGAGGTAAGCCCCACTTTCTCCCAGTCGAGAAGGAGCGAGGCCTATCTTTTCACCTCAGGGAACGTCGAGCCTTTTATTTCCTTCTCTGAGAGTCCCTCTCCCTTGCCTTGGCCACCCTTTGGCCTCCCTCTGCTTCCTTGTTCTCCTCCTTGCCTCCCTTCCTATACAACGTTATCCTCACTCCATAGTTTTTACAGGATTTTCTTCGGCAAGGAAGAGTGCATCAATACCAGCCATGGGCAAACTTGGGCTCTCCAGGAGTTTTGGACTCCAACTCCCACAATTCCTAACAGCCTTTTAGGGCGCCACAATTGAAGAGAGATATTGACAAGCAGGAATGTGTCCAGAGGAGGGCGACTAACATGATCAAGAGTCTGGAGAACAAGCCCTATGAGGAGCGGCTTAAAGAGCTGCGCATGTTTAACCTGAAGAAGAGAAGGCTGAAAGGAGACAGTGTTCAGTGAACACACTGGATTGATTTGTCTTCCCACTGATTATGATGCTCACTTCTACTCCTTCCCTACCTAAAATTACTTACTCAGAGCAAAAATCAATTATTCTTTCAGCTCTAAGAGACTAGGGGCCTTTCCAGTCAGGCCCTATATCCCAGGTTTACTGTTTTGCTGTTTATCCTGTTTTATTTATTTATTTATTTATTTATTTCGGACATTTCTACCCCGCCCTTCTCACCCCCTAGGGGGGGCTCAGGGTGGCTTACATCAGTTCGATGCCAACAATTACAATAAAATGCAATAACAATAGCACAATAGTTAAAAACATACAATTAATACAATATCAACTAAAAAACCGCTCTATAGCCCGCATTCATCGAGTTTTAAAATCCGTCAATCCATTTAGCATTACCATAGTTCTTTCCAACTCTAGTCATCATTACCTTTTTAATCTGCCAGATTACCCAAATGCCTGTCCCATATCCATGTCTTCAGCTTCCTTCTAAAGGAGAGGAGGGATGTTGACGACCTGATTTCCCCGGGGAGTGAATTCCACAGGCGAGGGGCCACCACTGAGAATGCCCTGTCCCTCGTCCCCACCAGTCTCACTTGTGATAAAGGTGGGACAGAGAGCAGGGCCTCCCAGAAGATCTTAAACTCCGTGGTGGGACATAGAAGGAGATATGTTCGGACAGATACGCTGGGCCGGTGCCGTATAGGGTTTATCTGGCAGTGGAGACACATATAATCTATTTTAAAGCAGAAAACCTGGGATCAGATCCTAGGATATAGGGCCTGTCTGGAAGAGCCCTTACTTCCTGGGAACTATGTGTATAGGAGTGTGTTATCAACAGTTGCATCCACACTGTAGAATTAGTGCATTTCTACACCAGCTTAACTGTCATAGCCTAGTTAAGATGTCTGCACTCATTGGAAGAGAAGAATAAAGACATTGTAAAATGAAGTCTCATGATTCCATTGCATTGAGACACAGTAGTTAAAGTGGACTCAAACTTGCATCAATTCTACAGTGTAGATGACTTTGGTGACTGTTTCTGATTCTTTCACTAGTAGATTGGGATGATTTTGGGGATAAGCCTTAGACAGAGACAAACCAATTTACATTCATACATAAATAGACATGTGCCTTAGCTAGCCCCATTGAACTCCCTAGAACTGGCCATGGCAGGAGACAAAATGCTTCACTGAAATCTGCATATAAATATTCTAAACAATTTCTGTGTTGTTTTATTGAATTTATATTAGCTATTTCATCACTACTTGCTTTGCTACCTTCTCTTTAATATTTATATTAAAGCATTCTAGTTTCACAATCACTGTATTTATCATGCCCTCCCCTGTCCCACTTTTCATAGAGATGTTAACTTCTTTTGTGTGTGAACCTGTATGATCTGATCTTCAAACAGATATCCCGTTACTATTTTATGGGGCACACTTTAAATTGCCTTTCCTAGAAGAGTTTTGACTTTATATCTGTAGTACTTAGTATACCATTACATGTACTTTGAAAAAACATTCTATGCAATATCCCTTTCAATGCTGTTTCTGTTTATCTTTGTTTTTCTTCTGATTTAATTCACACGGTTTTGAGGGCCTTTATATTTGTATTATATCTCAGGTTAGGTTCCTACTTACAGCCTGGCCTATAAAACTGTAAATTTTATATTGGTTTTGAAAATCAACTTGCTTAAATTTGAGTCAAGTACCTCTATATTAAAAAAAGTTTCTGTACTAAGCAAACATAAAGCTTGTGTTGTAACATAATACTATACTCTTTAGCAAAAATGGAAATTATTGACATAATTGTTGGTTTATCTATGACTGGGGTATATTCTCATTGTGTGAATGTAAGCACACTTATAAGTCCATTCTGATTTTCTTGTTTTCCTATTCAGGAGGAGGAGGAGGAAGAAGAGCTTGTGGTATGTAATTTTAATCATAATAACTGACCAGGTTTCCCTGGCAATCATGAACAACAAAAAAATACTTTCTACCAAATTTCCGTATTAGATCTTGAAAGCTGTTAATGGCACAAAGTAGTAATGACTATTCAGGTTCAGAAACAAAAGTTAATTAGTAAAAATTAGATGTTGGTAATCTTACAATACCTGAACAACACTTCACCATAGAATCATAATGCAGTCTCTTATGGAACTTAGCATATTGCCAACTTAATATTGGTAGAACCCTACACTGGCTTCTGCACATTGTCACATTCAGAAAAATTGATCTTGCTAAGTCTTAAGTACAGCTTGCTTTAATCCCCAGAAATAAACAGTATTTTTCTTGGAAATTGATAAATTTAAGAACAGTGATAAATTAATAGATAGATTGAAGGGGTAAAGCCTAGTTAAACTTTTTTTGATATCCTGAGCAAATATCAGTATTGCATGTTTTCTATGCTTTTAAAAATATTCTTTTAAACTGTGCTGTCTAGAATGCTCAGACCATGTTTGTTTTTTGCAAGCACTAACATTCTTTTATTTTAGAGCAAAAATGAATTTTCTATGCATTGTAGGCTATATTTGGGTATGTGTTTTTGTGTTTTCTTGTATTTGCATCTCTTATTTTAATCAGTTATCTTTTACTGTAATACATTTGCTAATGTTTGCTTCTCATTAGTGTGATTTATTTATGACATTGAATGTTTGGCTTTTTATATGTATGTAAACAGTCCTGAGTTCCTTTGGAGAGAGAGGGCAGTCTAGAAATAAAGTGTTGTTGTTGTTATTATTATTACCATCATCATACAGTATGTGGGGTCTGCTCCCTAAGGAGTAATATGTAAGTCATTTATAATTCTAGGTCTCCTAATTCTATCTTTTTAAAATGAATGATACAGGAAGGTTGGTAGAATACGAGTACATTATTCTGAAATGACACTGTTAACACAATGCACTACTTTAAGACACTATTCAAGTGATATAAAATTGATGAAATGATAAGTACATCCTTCAGGATATCTTAACTTGTTATAATTGTGGGGCTACAGAAGATAAGCTTTTGTTATCAGCTTGTCTTGATAAAGCTGAGTTACTCTTTTAGAAGTGAGATCTGGTTTAGTTGTTGACATATTGCTTTCTTTCCAGGATCCCTTAACTGCTATCAGGGAACACTGTGAACAGACAGAAAAATGTGTGAAAGCCAGGGAACGTCTGGAAGAGTGTGATGCTCGAGTGTCCTCTAGGTCCCGTACAGAAGAAAAGTGTACGGAGGAGCTCTTTGACTTCTTACATGCCAGAGATCATTGTGTAAGTGGCTTAGGAGTGATTTTATGGTGTGGATGTTAAATTGTTGCTGCTCTGTTGCTGAATCATAGAAACTTGTCATTAACATGAAATAAGGAACAGTTATTGAACCTAGGTATCCACTCAAGGTAAAGGTTTCCCTTGAGATTAAGTCTAGTCAAGTTCGACTCTGGGGGGTGGTGGTCTCTCTATTTCTAAGCCGAAGAGCCATAGACACTTCCAAGGCCATGTGGTTGGCATGAGTGCATGGAGTGCCTTTACCTTCCTGACGAAGTGGTACCTTTTGATCTACTCATATTTGCATATTTCAAACTGCTAGGTTGGCAGAAGCTGGGGCTAACAATGGAAGCTCACCCCGTCCCACAGATTTGATCTGCCAACCTTCTGGTCAGCAAGTTCTGCAGCTTAGTGGTTTAACCGGCTGCGTCTGGTATCTAATAACTTGCAAAAAAATAAAAATACAATTTTGGGGGTCTATAGCCATGGAATAATTTTCAGTTTCCTTACAGAAAATGTATGATGTTTAAACATGCTATTTACATTGGTGGTTTAGATAGACTTTTGAGTAACTATGCAAAGGTTTTATTAAATTTTATGGGACAATAATCTGCTTTTACAGTACAGCCCTGTATAAACAGCTTTCTGGAGTACAAAGAAACAAAAAATATTGTGTATGGGGCAACTGTTTCCCAAAGGGACTAATGATGTATATTGCAAATATATTTCCCTTAATGTGTTCATTTCTTGATTTTCAGGTGGCTCATAAGCTCTTCCCAAAACTGAAGTAACAATTCACAAGTCTGTCTGCTTCTGCTTCATACCTGAATCCCTGAGCAATGTTCCGTTTGAATAGATGTGCTGCTCTATATCTGTGTCTAGAGAAAAATGGAACTTGGTCTCTGGCAGTCTCTGGCCATCAGGATACCATCTGCACTCTGTGGGAGATTAACAGCTGTTAAAAAAACTTCTGTAGATTTCCATATTAAACATATTTCCTGTGAAATGTGAAAGCATTTTGTGTGTGTGTGTGTGTGTGGCCTTACAGCATCGTAGCGCATGCTGAAATTGAGCAAATGTATTCAGGAAATGTAGTACAGTATCTACTGTACTGCCCAGACTTCATCCGGATCTAAAGCGACGGGATATTTCAAGTCTTTGCAACAACACAAGGGACACCGGAACATGTTTTTCAGGTCATAATATGGTAGCCAACTTAGAAGCTGGTTTTAAAGCTTCCGGAAGAAATTTGGGTATGAACATGTTTTTGGCATGATAATGCGTAAGGATATTATAAATCTAGAATATTTTGAAAGTCCAGCTTTACTTTAAGGGCTGGCATGTGTGGTGTGTGCCTTCGTTTCCAACTCATGACCATCAGGCAAAATTCATTGGTGAGATTTATTCAGGGAAGTTTTGCCATTGCCCAAAGCAACTTGCTCAGGATCCCTAGTGAGTTTCCATGGTGAGCTCCCATGTGTTCACGGAGACATGAGAGAAGCCTCTCACAGGATGGTAACACATCTGGGCATCCCCTGGGCAACGTCTTTGTAGATGGCGAATTCTCTCACACCAGAAGCGACTTGCAGTATATTCTCAATTTGCTTCTGACACAATAAAAACTGGCTGAATTCACACTTTGGTCTGGAGTTTTAGGGTGCATCATCAACATTAGAATCATAGAGTTGGAAAGAGACCTCATGGGCCATCCAGTCCAACCCCATGCCAAGAAGCAGGAAAATCACATTCAAAGCATCTCCGACAGATGGCCATCCAGCCTCTGTTTAAAAGCTTCCAAAGAAGGAGCCTCCACCACACTCTGGAATAGCTCTCACAGTCAGGAAGATATTCCTAATGTTCAAGTGGAATCTCCTTTCTTGTAGTTTGAAGCCACTAGATATAATGCAGTGGTGACACCACTTTAACTGCCATGATTCAAGGCTGTGAGGTCTTGGGATTTGTAGCTTGGTGAGACAGTGGCACTCTGATGGTTAAAGACCTTGTAAAGCTACAACTCCCTTGTAGAACTACAATAAATAAATATGTATGTGCAAATATTAAAACAATTCAAAATAGTTCTGATCTCAAGCATTTTTGGTCAGATACTCAACCTGTACTTGGAAGTGGGTCCTTGGAATCTGATGGTATAGGGCGCCCTGTGGATATCAAAATCTGTGGAGACTCAATCAGTTATATACAACCATGTGATGAAATGCTGCCCTCTATATAAAAATGGCAAAATCAAGATGTGATTTGGGGAATGCTTTTTTTTATTTTTGGTGGAAACATACTGAATCTGTGGTTGCAGATTCCACCGGGTCAAGTGAGTGCATCTACACTGTGGAATTAATGGATGGGTTGTTGTAGGTTTTTCGGGCTATATGGCCATGTTCTAGAAGCATTCTCTCCTGATGTTTTGCCTGCATCTATGGCAGGCATCCTCAGAGGTTGTGAGGTCTGCTGGAAACTAGGAAAATGGGGTTCATATATATGTGGAAAGTCCAGGGTGGGAGAAAGAACTCTTGTCTGTTGGAGGTAGGTGTGAATGTTTCAATTGGCCACCTTGATTAGGATTTGATGGCCTGACAATTTTTAGGTGTCGCTTGTGGCGCCCTGGGGAAATTCTTTGTTGAAGGGGTGATTAGCTTTCCCAGATAGTTTCCTGTCTGGAGTTCCCCTGTATTTGAGTGTTGTTCTTTATTTGCTGTTATAATTTTTTGAGTTTTTTAATAGCAGTAGCCAGATTTAGTTCTGGCTACAAGTGCAGTAACAAGCAACACAGAAAAACTGTCAGGCCATCAAATGCTAATCAAGGTGGCCAATTGAAACATTCACACCTAGCTCCAATAGACAAGAGTTCTTTCTCCCACCCTGGACATTCTACAGACATATTATTGTTAAATGAACTTATTGGCTGATTTGTATGATGTTTTTACTATTTTAATTGTATTCTTATGATGTATATGTTGCAAGCATTGTGGATGCCTATGTGAGGCCGCCTTAGGTCCCCCTTGTGGGGAGATGGGTGGGATAGAAGTATATGAAATAAATAAATAATCAAACTCCAATTTCAATGCACACATTACAAAACCATTGGAACATTTAAAAACAATAGCATAATAACAATTAAACATCAATATGACAAATCATTCACGTCTCATCAATAGAATCAGAATCCAATCTCATCATCCGTTATTCTGTGTTCCTATAATCAACTACACTGCCTAATCAAATGTCCGTTCGAACAACCAGGTCTTCACTTTCCTCTGAAATGCCAATAAGGAGGGGGCCGATCTGATATCTGTAGGAAGGGCGTTCCACAGCCAAGGGGCCACCACTGAGAAGGCCCTGTCTCTCGTCCCCGCCAGGCGTGCTTGTGATGCCAGCGGGACCGAGAGCAGGGCCTCCCCAGATGATCTTAATGTCCTAGCTGGTTCATAGGAGGAGATGCGTTCGGACAGGTAAGTCGGGCCAGAACTTACCTCATGAAAAAGCTGGAATGTTAAATAGCTGGAATGTTAAATAGTTTGCAAGCTTGGTAGTTGATTAAATGCCCTTTGACCAGTATCTGGCCACTTGGAGTGCTTCTGGTGTTGCTGCAAGAAGGTCCTCCATTGTGCATGTGGCAGGGCTCAGGTTGCATTGCAGCAGGTGGTCAGTGGTTTGCTCCTCTCCACACTCGCATGTCGAGGATTCCACTTTGTAGCCCCATTTCTGAAGGTTGGCTCTGCATCTTGTGGTGCCAGAGCGCAGTCTGTTCAGCGCCTTCCAAGTCGTCCAGTCCTCTGTGTGCCCAGGGGGGAGTCTCTCATTTGGTATCAGCCATTGGTTGAGGTTCTGGGTTTGAGCCTGCCACTTTTGGACTCTCGCGAGTGTCTCTGTAGATCTTAGAAAACTATTTCTAGATTTAAGTTGTTGACATGCTGGCTGATACCCAAACAGGGGATGAGCTGGAGATGTCTCTGCCTTGGTCCTTTCACTATTGGCTGCTACTTCCCGGCAGATGTCAGGTAGTGCAATACTGGCTATGCAGTGCAATTTCTCCAGTGGTGTAGGGTGCAGACACCCTGTGATAATGTGGCATGTCTCATTAAGAGCCACATCTACTGTTTTAGCATGGTGAAATGTGTTCCACACTGGGCATGCATACTCAGCAGCAGAGTAGCACAGCGCAAGGGCAGATGTCTTCACTGTGTCTGGTTGTGATCCCCAGGTTGTGCCAGTCAGCTTTCGTATGATATTGTTTCTAGCACCCACTTTTTGCTTGATGTTCAGGCAGTGCTTCTTGTAGGTCAGAGCACGGTCCAGAGTGACTCCCAGGTATTTGGGTGTGCTGCAATGCTCCAGTGGGATTCCTTCCCAGGTGATCCTCAGAGCTCGGGATGCTTGTCTGTTCTTAAGGTGAAAGGCACATGTCTGTGTTTCAGATGGGTTGGGGATCAGCCTACAACAACCCAGGGATTCCCCCTTCGACAATACATTGGAATTGGTAGAGTTTGGCAGCACTTTGGCTCAATGCGATGGAATCCAGGGAGTTGTAGTCTGGCGAGGGCTAAAGACCTTGTAGGATTCTGCAACCTTGGGCCATGGCAGTTAAACAGTGACCTAAGATTGCATTCATTTTGCAATAGGCAGCCGTGCTGCTTCTGCCGCCTGAGCTTCCCATCCCAGAGCAGGAGGGGGCAGTCTCGCCTGGAGAGGCGGCGCTTCGGCCTGGGAGGCGCGTCCCAGCCACGGCAATGGCGGCCTCGCGCTGGGCAAAGCAAGGCAGGCGCCTTCTCCTGGCGGGCCCGGCCTTCGCCTCGGCTCCCCGCCGGCATTACAAGAAGAAATGGGTGAGTGGGAGGGAAGCAGCGGGGCTTCGCCTCCCAAGGCTGGAGAGTCTCCTTCCGGAAAGAGCGGGCTGCTGTGCTGAGGCTTCCAGCTTCCTCCTCTCCGCTATAGTTTTACAAGCTCTGGCAAAGCGTGTCGGCGCCTCACCAAACTGCAACTCCCATGAACAAGCATGAGCAAACTTGGGCCCTCCAGGTGTTTTGGACTCCAACTCCCTCAATTCCTGACAGCCCCAGGCCCTTTCCGTTTCCCCCACAGCTTCCCCTCTCTCACTATCTTATCCTATACTTTCTTCTCTCTTTCCTTGCTCCTTCCATCCCTTTCCTCCGTCTTCCTCTCTCCCTCCTTCCTTCCCTTCCACCCTTTCGTCCTTCCTTCCCTCTTTCCTCTCTCCCTCTTTTCTCCTTCCTTTTATCTTCTTTCTCTTTCTTTCTCCCTTCCCCCCTCCTTCCCTTTCATCCTTCCTTCCTTATCTTTTTGCACTTTCCTTCCCTCTCCTTCCTTCCCTTTTGTTTTTCCCTTCTTCCTCTCCCTCCCTTTCTCCCTCTCTCCATTACCATCCACCCTTTTGTCCTTCCCTCTTTCCTCTCTTTCCCCCTTCCTCCCTTTCTCCTTCCTTTGCTTTTCTCTTTCCTTCCTTCTCTCCTTCTTCCCTCCCTCCCTCTTCCTTCCTTCCTCCATTCCTTTCCACCCTTCTGCCCTTCCTTCTCTCTTTCCTTCTCCCTTCCATCCTTCCACCCTTTAATCTTTCCTTATTTTTCTCCCTTTTTGTCTTTCCTTCCTTTCTCCTTTCCTCCCTCCCTCCCTTACCTTTCACTTTCTTCTTCCTTTCCACCCTTCCTTCCTTCTTTCCCCCTTCTTCCATCTCTCCCTCTTTCTCCTTCCATCCTTCCCTTCTTCTCTTTCATCTTTCCTTCCGTCTTCCTTCCATCACCGAGCAGCCAGTCTTCTTAGCAGGGAGTGCTAACTTGCAGCCCAAAAGTTAGAAAGTTTGCCCATGACTGGTGTAGAGGTGGTTTTGCCAGATCCTTCTGCTGAAATATAGCGATAAGGGGGGCAGGGTGAGCTCCCACTGTTAGCCCAAGCTTCTGCCAACCTAGCAGTTCAAAAACATGCAAATGTGAGTAAATCAATGGGTACCGCTCCGGCGTGAAGGTAACAGCGCGCCATGCAGTCATGCTGTCCACATGATCTTAGAGGTGTCTATGGACAACACCGGCTCTTGGAGATGAGCACCACCCCTAGAGTCAGACACGGCTAGACTTAATGTCAAGGGGAAACAGGACTTATTGCCAAGGGGAAAATGGACAATCATCTGTCTAGGCCAGGGGTCCTCAAACTTTTTAAACAGAGGGCCAGGTCACAGTCCCTCAAACTGTTGGAGGGCCGGATTATAATTTGAAAACAACATGAATGAATTCCTATGCACACTGCAATATCTTATTTGTAGTTCAAAAAACACTTAAAAGCAATAAATTACTAAAATGAAGAACAGTTTTAACAAATATAAACTTATTAGTATTTCAATGGGAAGTGTAGACCTGCTTTTGGCTGATGAGATAGGATTGTTGTTGTGTGCTTTCAAGTAGTTTCAGACTTAGGTTGACCTTGAGTGAGGGCCGGGTAAATGACCTCCGGTCCCTGGGCCTTAGTTTGAGGACCCCTGGTCCAGGCCCCCTTTTGCCTTCCGCCCGAATAATGGTACAGTACAGTCTATTTTTCTCCCCTCCCTTTGAATATAAAATGGGGGCACCTGAAAGCATTATTTCCCTAATATGTTTATCCCATTGAATCCATTTGTATGACTTAACTTTGGATCCAGCCAATTGGATGTAATGAGGCTAAGCTCTGAGCAGACATAAGGATGCAGCTACACTTCTGAACAAATGCTGTTTGATACCAGTTTAACCATCATGGCTCAGTGCTCTGGGATCCTGGTAGTTTTACAAGGTCTTTAGCCATCCTTACAAAACCCAGGATTGCATAGCATTGAGCCATGGTGGTTAAAGTGGTGTCAAATTGCATTTATGCTTCAGTGTAGATGCACTCTATGCACCCAAGACCAAATATGATTCCATAGGCAAAGGGCTGATCATATGAGTTTTCTCATCTAAGATTGATAGGATGCTGATGGGGTAGGAAATACTAATGTAACTGACTGGTGTTTCACAAACTTGGTAAACAATATTTCCAAGTGTACATGAATTTGAGTACTGGGGGTATGCAGGGAGAGTCGTGTATATCATCCCATAGTAATCCCAGCCCCAATTACAACTCTTTGTCACAATGGAGGAATTCCTATCTTTTACCTACCAGATACTTTCATATTTTGGCAGGCGACCACTGCTCCTCGGGTATCATCCATCAGGCTGGCTCTGCAGATCTTCGACATGAACTACGGGACACAGTTTGGCAGTCTTTGGCCTTCAATCCGTATCAGTCTCCTATCCGAGCAGAAATATGGTGCTCTTGTCAACAACTTTTCTGATGTACTGCAGATAACCCAGCAACTGGAAGACTTGAATGCAACAGATTTCATCTGGGAATCTAAAACAGTAGTCCAGGAACCTGATTCTATAGCTAAGCTAGGTTCCAGTGAATTATCCTCTGCCTCAGAAACCCGGACTGAGCTTTCCCTGCAACAAGAGCAACCTGTTCCTTCCCTCAGTCCCAACATCAAATGCTATACATTCCCCAAAGGAAACATCAGCACGTTTCATCCAGCCAAGTGAGTAGTTTGTTTGTGTTGAAGGAAGGGACATTTAAATATTTGTCATATTACAATAAATATATCTGGCTCTCTGTATCCATGGATTCTGCATTCACAGACTCAACAATCCACATCTTGAAAACAATCCAAAAGCAAACCTTGATTTTGTCGTTTTATATCAGGAACACCATCTCCTGGGTATTTTATATAATGGCACATGGTCCTGCAGCCAAACCCTAAAGCAGTGTTTCTCAACCTTCCTAATGCTGCAACCTCTTAATACAGTTCCTAATGTTATGGTGACCCCCAACCATAAAATTATTTTCGTTGCTACTTCATAATTGTAATTTTGCTACTGTTATGAATTGTAATGCAAATATCAAATATGCAGGATGTATTTTTATTCACTGGACCAAATTTGGCACAAATATCTGATACACCCAGATTTGAATACTGGCGGGGTTGGAGGAGATTGATTTTGTCATCTGGGAGTTGTAGTTGCTGGGATTTATAGTTCACCTACATTCAAAGAGCATTCTGAACCCCAGCAACGATAGAATTGGGCCAAAAATCCCATACAGAACCCCCATGCCTTGAAGGGATTTCGCTGGTGCGAGCCTCCCTCCAGCCTCACACACTCCCTCGCCCACACATGTACACCATGCTGCCATTCACTGAGCACACCTGCTCTCCTCTCCCCACTTGAAGTCTCAGAAACAGTCCTCCCCTTGGTTAAAAGGTCAGCCAATCACAGCAGAGGAGGGCTTTTGGTGGGAGGATTCACAGTCTGTTTCCAAAAAGAAAGAGAAGGCCAGGCGGAGAGATCTTCAACCTTCTCTGCCAAAGATGTTCCTAAGACCATCAGAAATATATGTTTTCTCATGGTCTTTGGTGACCTCTCTGAAACGCCCTCGCCCCCCCTCCCTGGTTCCTGACCTCCAGGTTGACAAACACTGCCTTAAAGGCTTGCTGTATGCTTCTTGAAAGCATATCCTGAGTTCTCTGGTTGCTGTCAATAATAATACTTGTATTCCTTGTTTTCAAATTCTTAATGTGCCCGACTTTTGATTTAGATCTTTTCCAATTTGTAAATGTGGACAGTAAACAATTTCTCTCCCCCCACCCCAGGAGAACAGGTGTTATGGAGCAGGATGGTCTGAAGTGTGGTATACTGTGCTCTCGTTTGTATGTTCGCAATCTCACTTGGACTGGTCGTGCCATGGGGTAGAATGAGAGCTATCTCATACAGCAAATATGGTGTGTTGGGGGAAGATAGTAACTCTCTAGCATTTGCCTTTTCCCACTGTACCTGGAAATGCCAAGGCTGGAGCCTGGAACATTTTGGAAATCTACCGTTCTTCTATGCATTCAGTGACTTTAAGTGGAAGTCACTGTAGAACTCAAGCCTTATTATATCTACTGCGTATTTAAGCTTCATGCGTTTGCTTCCTTTGTAGGCCAGATGTGATAGGAATCCTGGGCTATTATCTCCTCGATGCTGCATCAATCTTGCCTGTCTTGGCTCTCAATATACAGCCGAATGACTTAGTTCTTGATCTTTGTGCAGCACCTGGAGGGAAGACATTAGCCCTTCTACAGACTGGGTGTTGTCGTAAGTAACATTATTTTCCTCTCTGTGTGCTCATGTGGTACTCATGTGGTGTTAATGGGACCAGTTAGAAACAAGAAAAACAAGTGTGGTGGACAGCCATCTCTATAGTATATAGACGCCTCTTAGTCTTTGTTTATGTGTTTGGGGGGGCCCCGGAAACTGAGGATTTGCCTCACTATTTGTTTTTTGCCCTCTGTATTCTGAGCCAAGAACTAAAATCCTGGGACCTAGTCTTTACCTCCTTCAAACCAATACTGTGTTAGGAAAGATTTTCTACCTTTTGGCTGACACTAATCCTGTGGTTACACACAAGGTTTCCTTTTTTGCCCTGGCAAAACTAATTTCTGATATTGTAGTTGACTGTGCTGGGGATGTTTCTAACTAATAGTGGCTGTTTATATCCAAGGTGTTCCCTGCTTAAGTTTTAATAATGCTGTATTTGCTTGGTTTTCCTGGTTTTTAATTATACAATATCTTATGTAGTATTTTAAGGGCATCTTGCCATTTATATATGTAGCACTTTAATGGTTTATATAGGATTTTAATGGTGTATTTTAATAATCTGGTTTTCATGTATTTATTTGTTTGCCTTATATGTGAAAGACCTGTGGCCTAAGCATTGAATAAAACTAACACTACTATAGTAGTTATGTTCTGTACAAAGTCTCTTCCTCTTTGGTCATTGTAGGACTTTCAGAGTTAGCAATATAGCAACGTATTCTTAAACACATTCATTAAAAAAATCCTCCTTCTGCCTTTCTTGGCTGAACTCCATCCTAGTGAGTGGATTTGATATCTGCAGTTTTGCTTTACTTTTAAATGCTATAGAAAAGATGCGTATTGAATGGGTTTTCTTGACAGATTGCATGCTTTACATGGAGAAAATCTTGGCTTCAATCTCTGATATCATGTTAGGCTGGAAAAGACCCCACTGTGCACACAGTACAGGGTAAAATGGATAATCTGTGTAAAACGGTTTCTTCTGTTCCTATAACTATTAATTTCTTTAGTTATTCATGAAACGTTTGTAGGTTTTACACTTTGTACTAGGCAAAACTGTAGCTAATCAATAACAAGAGAAAATGTGTTTATTATATCAATGTTGTTTTGCTGTACCTTCAGGTTGTTTTTAATTTAAGGATGAGAGTGTCTGGCTCACCCAGGGACACCCAGTGGTTTCCCATGGTCAAACAGAGAATCAAATCCTGGTCTCCAGAGTCATAGTCCAGTGCTCAGACCACTAGACCATGCTATTTATACTACATACCCATCTTATCCCAACCATATGCAGATTTTGGTTTGTGATCGAAAAGCCTGCATTTTTTAAATTGACTTTGGTTTATGCTGCTCGTTTTGTTTTGCAATAGGAGAGCTGGCCGCCAATGATCTTTCAACTTCTCGCACTCGTCGGCTGCATGACATTCTTCACGGATACCTTCCACAAGAGCTCCAAAAAGTAGTACGGGTTACATCGTGGGATGGAAGGAGGTGGGGTGAGCTGGAGAGAAGCACTTTTGACAGGGTAAATAATACCAGGGGAATACTACGTGAATGAACTCTTTAGAATTGTCCCTTTTCTTGTATAGAATAGTATTGGCCCCTTATCATGTGCAGTCTCACATATCTATGGAGGATACATTTTTGGACTAGGTGTGGATATGCAAAACTGCTGATAGTAGCAAACCCTATTGATATGAAGGACTTCTGGCCAAAGAATACCATAGAGTCATCCTGGAGGACTTAGATAAAGACATATTTTTTCAGATGTGGATAAATTAAGCTGTTGATACTGATCTTTCTTTCTGTTGTGTCTATTGAAGCTTTCTTTCTCTTGTGTCTGTAGACAAGAAGGCCTATGCTTACAACTATGTCTATTCTGTTGTCTTGTGTATTGTTTTTAATTCAGAGAATGTTGGAATTTGATTCTAATTGGAATATCTGTTTTTGAACTGAGTCCCTTCAGGGAGAGAGGTCAGATTATAAATAAAGTTTATTATTATTATTATTATTATTATTATTATTATTATTATTATTCTGACACAAAACCACAATATGTCACAGCAAACGAGATCTATATGCTGGATTTCGTATTACAAAATCACAAGTTGAACACTTCCCAAGTGTCTAGGGCTGTGTGATGTATTTTCAAATGATGTGTGCAGATCCAAGTAAGGTGGACTTTTGCAGTTGGCAGATAGTGATTTTGTCAATGTTTATTGTTTCCAAATGCCGGCTGAGATTTTTTGGCACGACCCCTGGGACCACCTGGACTGGTTTATGCCAGAGCCTTTGTATTTCGATTTTGAGGTTTTGATAACGGCTGAGTTTTTCCTGTTGTTTTTCCTTAATGCGACTGTCACCTGCTATGATGACATCAGTGAACCAAACTTTTTTCTTTTCCACAATTGTGATGACTGGCGTATTGTGTTTCAAAACTTTGTCAGTCCCACAGTATATTTGTGTGTTCATTTTCCACTACCTTTGCAGGTTTATGATCCCACCAGTTCTTTACTACTGGCAGGTGGTACTTGTGACATAAATCATTTGAGCCATAAAGTTGTGCCTCTGTTTGTAGTCCGTTTGTGCGATTTTCTCGCAAGAGCTGAGGATATGGTCCATGGTTTCATCAGCTTCCTTGCACAGTCTGCATTTTGGGTCATCAGCTGATTTTTCAATCCTGGTCTTAATAGCATTTGTTGTTCCTGGGCTGCAAGAATCAGGCCTTCTGTCTCCTTCTTCAGTGTTCCATTCATGAGCCATAACCAGGTCTTCTCCTTATCAACTTTTCCTTCAGTTTTGTCAAGGAACTGCCCATGCAGTGCATTGTTGTGCCAGCTGTCAGATCTGGTTTGTAGTGCTGTTTTCTTGTACTGATTCTTTGTCTGCTGTGCTTTGAGAAGTTTCCGATTATTGACTTCAATTAGAGCAGGTTCTTGGCTTTTCTTTACATATTCTGCCAGGGCATGTTTTTCTTCTTCGACTTTTTTTACTTGCAAAAGTCCTCTGCCACCAGACTTTCTAGGCAGATAGAACCGGTCAACATCACTGCAATTATTATTATTATTATTATTATTATTATTATTATTATTATTATTATTATTACTATTATTATTCCAAAAACACCTTCCTGTTGTTTTTATTTAGAATAACATATTACATAATATTAAATAAAATAACCTGTGACATTATACTAAGGAACTAGAAATATCACTGTGAATACTATTGAATACACAGTAATACTTCTAGTAGTACAGATTATGTCATGGGATGGAAGAAAGTGGAATGAGCTAGAGACACGCACTTCTATTCCCTCACTGTCTTGTTGCCTGTGTTGTTATTATTACACATTGATATCTATGTGCTCAACCATGTTCAGATCAATGATTGCCTGCAGCGTATTCCTGAAACATTCTGTATGGGATTTTTAGAGTAAAATCTCTCTTCTTTTTTATGTAGGTGCTTGTAGATGCGCCATGCACAAATGATCGACACTCACTCAGGGAAGAGGAAAACAACATCTTTATGCGCATGAGAAAAGGGGAGCGTCAGGCCTTGCCCAGGCTACAACTGGAGTTGCTTGTGTGAGTGGCCTCGAGTGATGTATATTGATCTTGAATGGTATATATTGATCTGTGCAAATTGTCCGATGCTGTAGGTTGGTCTTACACTTGTAAAGAGGTTCATCCAATGTTAGTAGCTGGAACAGATGTTTTGCATGCCTATAACTAGCATACCATTGATAGACTGCTTCTCTAATGCTTCTCTTCCTAATTTCCTTGGAGATTACAATAATTTTATTTGCCATTATAAAAAAAATATGAAAGGCAAATGATTCATTTAAAAGCTTGGGTGAGGCTCTAGCCAAATTGGAACCTTCAACTTAATGTAATTACCTCATGTACTGGAAATGTCCTGCCTCCACTCTAGGTTCTTGTAAAAGACTTTTTAATGATGTATTATGATATAAAATATATTGGGGAGAGGAGGAAAGGAGCACTGCTCTACAATGCAGTGGTTAGTAAGTGCCAGCATGGGTTAGTCACAAACAAATCCTGTCAAACTAATTCCATGGTTCTCAACCTGTGGGTCCCCAGATGTTTTGGCCTTCAACTCCCAGAAATCCTAACAGCTGGTAAACTGGCTGGGATTTCTGGGAGTTGTAGGCCAAAACACCTTGGGACCCATAGGTTGAAAACCACTGAACTAATCTATCAGTGTTGTTTTGTAGATGGTGGGATGTAATTTAGCTGAATTTCTTGAAAACATTTTGTTATTTATTTATTTATTTAAAACATTTATATTCTGCCCTTCTCACCCCGAAAGGGACTCAGGGCGGAGCACAGCATATATACGGCAAACATTCAATGCCAGGACACAAATTCATATATGCATACATTTTTTAAAAAATAATCTTTATTTGGTTTAAAAATAGAATAGAATACATAATTATAATAAAATATCAGTAGATTTAGATAAATAGTATATAATTAGAATATAAATAGGTAGGGATAGAGGTGGGGAGGGAATAGTTAAGGATTTAAAAGGTTGGTGGTTAAATATGTAGGTAGGTAGATAGATAAGTTTAAGAAAAGGAAATGGAAGATAGGGAAGAGGGAAAGTAAAAGTGCAGTCTTCATATACGCATACATAAACTGTCAAGACCCAGACGGACCAGCAAGCAAAACGACAGTGAAGGAGTTAAACAAAGGTCTTTAATGTCTATTAGCACAACAAAAGGAGGCTCTTAAAGTCAGAGCTATAAACACAAAAGGCTTGCGGTCAGCAAGAATGTAAACAAACCAAGTCCCAGTCAGTCCTCGCTGGCAAAAGGAAAGCAAGTCCAAACTCAGGCAAAACAGCTTCAATTCAGTAGTAAAAACTCAGTTCATTTCAAAGCCAAACAAAACAGCAAACAGCAATCCGCATGAAGAGCGGTCCAACGAAGTAACCAGGGGATTAGCAGAGGCGTAGTCAGGCAGTCCGAGGGTCAAGGCAAGGAAGACTCACAAGTCCAGGTCCGGCAAGATTGTTCACACGATCAGGAGTCCACGAAGCTGCAAACAAGAGCTCAGGGCAGAAGTTAAACACAAGGCACACGGTAACGCGACACTTTGAACTCTGCGATTAGTTTGTTCCCAAACTGCTCCTTAAATCTCATCCGAGTCGCTGGAGTTACTTTCAGGTGCGTCTGCCTCCACAGGTGAATCCCGACTTCGCCATTGCTGCCAGTCTGTGCTTCGGGCTGCATCCTGCAAAGTATTATCTGGAACCCAAGTGTCATTAAAACCCTGGAATTCATCGCTAGACGTGGGAGCATTAACCACATCTAATACTTCCTGAACTTTAGTCCAATCCAGCTCTTCCTCTTCGCTGTCAAACTCCTCACAATCAGCTACATCTCTAAGGCGTTTAACAACAGATCCCACATCACTATCCGAGCTGCTTGCTACTCGCTTTACACCGCGGTAATCTTCCAGCTCCATTTCCTCGCGAGTAAAACCCTCAAAATCTTCCTCATCCGTAGTCTCTAAGAACAAGTCTCTAATACGTTTCAGCTGTTGCTGAGCTTCTTCATCTTCTAAACCACGTTTCCTTCTACTACTAGTAGTAGGTACAGGAGACAGACGCTGACTCACAACATAAGCATTAAAAACATTTATCAAAATATTAAAATACACCATTTAAAACCATCTTGCTCATCTGCGTCAAATCTAATGGACACAGTAATGTTTCCTATTGCTGCTTTGTTGCCCTGTCCCGAAAGCCTGGTCCCACAGCCAAGTTTTGACCATCCTTCTGAAGGACAGGAGGGAGGGCGACCTGATCTCACCAGGAAGGGAGTTCCATAGCCGGGGGGCAATCACCGAGAAGGCCCTATCTCTTGTCCCCACCAATCGTGCCTGTGAAAATGGCAGGATGGAAAGCAGATCCTCCCCGGAGGATCTTAATCTCCGCGATGGTTCATAGGGGGAGATGCGTTCGGACATGTAATATGTTGATGATATTGTGATTAGCAAACTGACTAAATATGGAATAGATGGAAACGCCATCAGACAGATCCATAATTGCTTGGAAATCCATACTTAAAGAATTGTCATCAGGATCTCTGCTTCAAACATTAAGAAGGTCTCAGACTGTGCGTCATAGGGTTCTATTCTAGATTCAATATGTTTCAATATTTTTAGCAGTGATGTAGAGGCTGAGGTAAAGAGAATCCTTATTGGCTTTGAAAGAGAAGAACCGAATTCAGAACAACCTTGATAAACTAGAAAATTGAAATTCAGAAAATAAAATTCTGCAAAGACGAATGCAACATTATCTCTTCCAATACGCATTCCTTCTTCCTCTTTTCCAGAGCTGGAATCCTTGCTGCCAAGCCAGGAGGGGAAGTAGTCTACTCAACATGCTCCTTGTCTCAGCTTCAGAATGAGTATGTGATTGAGAGAGCTGTGGAATTACTGGCAATCCAATATCACATTGAAGTACAGGTTGAAGACTTGAGCTATTTTCAGAGGTTGTTCCAGAGCACGTTTTCTTTCTATCCAGATTGCAGATTTGGAGAACTTGTTCTTCCTCACCTGACAGCTAATTTTGGACCCATGTATTTTTGTAAATTGCGCAGGATGAGTTAGAATGGACAGTACATGACACAACAGAAGGGAAACTATTTTTTTGAATGCCTTTTAAAATTTAAAGCTGAAATGCAATTTGCGAAAACGCTTGAAACTTCTTGTATTATCAGCAACATTTGTGGACATGTCTTACTTGATTTTTGTGAATGCAGTGGAAAATAACCCTTAACCCGACATGGAGAGGATGGTTGTTACACAACCATTACCCAACATTTGCAGACATTTGTAAAACAGTACATAGTCATCACTGTGGTCAGTACTGCTTTATGAATACGGGTTAGGTATCCCTTATTTGGAATTCGAAATGCTGAAATTGGCCATATGGGTGTTTGAGATATTGATGCTTTTACTTTCTGTTCCTCAATTTCCCCTGTTTTTTTCTACAATTATCTTCAGGCGACGTGTGCAAGATATAGATGAAACATAAATTATTTTTATATGTAGAGTTGGGTTCAATCTTCAATATCATATCACAGGGAGTTTATCATCATGTATATATATGCAAATACAGGTGTTTCAAAATATAAGAAATCTATATCTAAAACACTACTTGTCCCAAGCATTTTGGATAAGGGATGCATAACCTGAGTTACATATGCATTACATATTTATGTGCTTAAAAGTCATTTGTTTATATAATGACAACCCCTACTAATTTTATTTATTTATTTATTTATTTCGAACCTTTCTACCCCGCTCCTCTCAACCCCTGGGGGGAATCAAGGCGGCTTACAATTGGCAATAATCCAATGCCGCATCATAAAATACAGAATACAGAATAACAAATATAACAATTAACATGAACATTAATAAATAAAGATTAAAACAGTATACTTACACTCTGATTAGCTATTGCCCGTCTGGTGGTTGTTTAACTAGCCAACTACTAATGAATACTCCGCTTAACTTATCCAAATCCTCTTCCATGCCATAGTCAAACATTATCAATTGTCCTTTAACCTGATTGCCCGAAGGCCTGGTCCCACAGCCATGTTTTAACCTTTTTTCTAAAGGTGAGGAGGGATGACGATGACCTAATTTCCTCGGGGAGCAAATTCCACAGGCGGGGGGCCACTACCGAGAAGGCCCTGTCCCTTGTCCCCGCCAAGCGTGTTTGAGACAAAGGCGGGGCCGAGAGCAGGGCCTCCCCAGATGATCTTAAGCTCCGAGGTGGGATGTAGAAGGAGATACGTTTGGACAGGTATGCTGGACCAGAGCTGTATAGGGTTTTGTAGGTCAAAACCAGCACTTTGAATTGTGCTTGGAATTGGATCGGCAGCCAGTGGAGCTGGCACAGCAGGGGGGTGGTATGCTCCCTGTATGACGCTCCAGTGAGTAATCTAGCTGCTGCCTGTTGGACTAATTGCAATTTCCGAACAATCTTCAAAGGCAACCCCACGTAGAGCGCGTTGCAGTAATCTATTCGGGATGTGACAAGAGTGTGGACCACCGTAGCCAGATCTGACTTCCCAAGGTACGGGGGCAGCTGGTGCACGAGTTTTAACTGTGCAAAAGCTCTCCCGGCCACCGCCGAGACCTATATAATTTCATATAGTGTTTTAAGGCAAGGAATATCACAGGGAGTTTATCATGACCTTCTTCTGAAACGGTTCTATTTCGGGGTTAACCAGACCAAGGTTACATTTCTAGAAATCTTTTTTTCACTACTATGTAGTAATACTTTTCTATCGCAAATACTGGAGCCCTCGGCGCCAATCCCGAGTCAGACAGGGCTGGACTTAATGTCAGGGGAAAACCTTTACCTTTTACCTTGAACACCCCAAAAGAAACTGCCTTTTTCAAATAACCCAGGCACTGCCAGATCCCCTAGCTAGTATACTTTAAATTAAGGACCTTTACCATATTACACACATCAGAATAAAGCAACGTATACATTAAAATGGAATTGAAACATATAAATTAAAACAGTTATTTATAAATCACAGCAGCTTGACCCCATTTTAATTGCCATGACTCAAGGCTATGGGATCATGGGAGCTCTTGCGTCACAAGGTCTTTAGTCTTTTCTCATCACACTTGAGAAGAAGAAAAACCACTTTAAATCCGGTTTCTGCCTTCTGCAGAATTCTGTGGTTTGTAATTTAGGGAGGAGCCTTTACCAGCCTCACTTATCTACAAACCCCATAATTCTGAAGAAGGCAGTGGGTTTTAAGTGGATTTTTTTCTCTCTAGTGTGATGAAGTTGGAAAAAAGTGACTCATCACACTAGAGATTTTAAGTAGATTTTTTCCCTCTAGTCTGATGACATGGAAAAAAGTGACTAGAGAAAAAATCCACTTAAAATCCGGTTTCTGTTTCTTGCAGAATTCTGGGGTTTGTAGTTTACGGAGGAGCCTTGAGCAGCCACCCTAAACTACAAACCCCAGAATTCTGCAGGAGGCAGACACTGGATTTTAAATGGATTTTTTTCTCTCTAGTGTGATGAAGTGGGGAAAAAGGGACTCATCACCCTAAAGAAAAATTCATTTAAAACCCAGTTTCTGCTTCCTGCAGGATTCTGGGATTTGTAGTTTAGGGAGGAGCCTTTAACCCCCACCCTAAACTACAAACCCCAGAATTCTGCAGGAAGCAGACAGTGGATTTTTTTCTCTAGAGAAGTGAAAAGAGTGCTAAAGGAGAACGCCCTGCATCAATTCTGCAGCGTGGGATTCAGTCTTGGCCGCTGGGATGCGGGCGCCGGAAAGCAGGTGGGTGGCTCAATGGCTCCGCCCCCCGCCCTGCTCTTAAAGGGGAAGAGCCCTACTAGGAGGGAGGAAGGAGAGGGAAATCGGGAGACCAGCAGGATGAGTGTCGGCCTCCTCTCGGCGCTGCTCTGCTGCTCGGCCGCCACGCTCCTGTGGCTGAGATGGCAGCGGCGGAGGAAGATCCGGAGGAAGATCCAGGAGGCCCGGCAGAGGCGGGAAGGCGCCCTGGAGCGGATGGGGGCGGCGGCGCGGAGGTTCACGGAGCAGGTGCGGAGAGCGGGGCTGGTGGGCATGCCTCCGTGCTGTGGGGTCCTGGGAGTTGTCCATGGGCAGAGGGGGCTCCAGCCCTTGCAAAGCTGTAACATCCCTGGCAGTTCAAAGAGGGTCAAACTGCATTTATTCTTACACTATTCAATGCAGCCTCAGCTAGAGAGCTCTAGTGCTTCGCCTAAGGCGGGTTAAACCCTTGTGCCAACCGGACCGAAGAGCGACAGGTCGCAGGTTCGAATCCGGGGAGAGTGCGGATGAGCTCCCTCTGTGAGCTCCAGCTCCCCGTGCGGGGACATGAGAGAAGCCTCTCACAAGGATGGTAGAACATCAAAAAACATCAGTGATCTGGCAGAATTGCCCATGTCCTTGGTATTGGTTTACATTAAAAAGGGCTTTTTGGGGTCACAGTTGGCACTTTCCACATGCTCACATCCACAAACCTAAAGTCTGCAAGTCACAGTCTTGAACTACACGGGCTATTTTTTCACAGGCAATTCCGTAATCATAATTTTATTTCTTACCCACCTCTCCTCGAGGTGGGTTACTTAATAATAATAGTAACAACAATTTTATTTTTGTATCCTGCCACCATTTCCCTGAAGGGACTCTCGACGACTAACATGGGGACCAAGCCCAGTCAACAGAGATGAAATATAACACAATAAAATGCATATACAAACATCATAACATAATTACAAACTGAATTCATCAAACAACAACCAGTAGCCAAGCATAGTGGCATTTCCAAATTAAGGGGTGAGACGGAGGCTTGTGCAATACAACTGCAAGGACAATAATAAAAACACATAAACATTGTAAAAATACCACAAATACCACATATTAAAATGTATTTCTATAAAAGATACATATTAAAACGTATTTCTATAAAATACATATAAAATACACAAAACAGATTAATAGTTTGTTGTTAAAACAAGCAAAGTTTGTGTACCAGTGGCATGCATGTATTGTGTTTGTCATGCCAAAGGTTGAGGGGCCAACCTTTGACCGACCCCTCGACCTCTGAGAATGCCTGCCATAGATGTGGGTGAAACATCAGGAGAGAATGCTTCTGGAACATGGCCAGACAGCCCAAAAAACTCACAACAAACCTGTTTTCCCATGTTTTTATGACAGAACCAGTTAGCAAATGGCTTTTATCACCCAGGACAAAATCGTGTTCCATAATTTAATGGTACAGAAATCTTAATCTAATCATCATCATCATCATCATCACATTTTGACACCACTGTAATTGCCATGGCTCAATACTATGCATCATGAGAAATGTAGTTTTACAGATAATAACAACAACACTAACAATAATAATAACAAAATTGAGGTCACTGAGAATAAGTAGTAGGACATTTATAAGTTATTTACTTCCCATTCAGTTAGTTCTGCTGACAAAATTACCATCTGTCAGCTGCAAAAGGCCACCTACTTGGATCTGGCTGCATTATTTGCCGATACATCACACAGTCCTAGACAGTTGGAAAGTGTCCAATACAACATGTGATCCAATACAACAGTCAGCTTAGTGATCTTGTTTGCTGTGTACTAATTTTGTTGTGTTTCAGATAATAATAATAATGATGATGATAACAACTTTATTCTTATATCCCACCACCATCTCCCTGAAGGGACTCGGGGCGGCTTACAGATGGCACAGAGTGCCTAAAAACAAACATAAAAGTGAACACAATATAAAATACAGTAAAATAAAACACATGCACATATAAAAACATCAATTCAGACTCAGTCAAGATGCGGTCCTCTAACTGTGGTGGTAAATTACTGGTGGCATGGCCGGGCTTGTAAGCATTGGAATAAAATAAGTGCCACTCTTCCTGTCAAATTGTGCCTTCTAAAGTTCAGTTGAAATCTATTGTTCAGTAACTTCAAACCAATAGACCTGGTCCTGCCCTATGATGAAACCAGCTTCCTGGTCAAAGAGACTTTGAGCCCTAGTGCTGTCGGTCTTGATCTAACATTCACTAACTATTAATTGTATTACATAGTTACTGTACTCCTACAATGATTTTTAGATGTCACTGTCAGAAAAAGTCCATATTTTTGGGAAATGGAGCAGAGAAGCAGTAGGATGTACACAGCATGTTGCAATGCACACACATTTCATAGAATCATATTGTAGAATTGTAGAGTTGGAAGAGACCTCGTGGACCATCCAGTCCAACCGCCTGCCAAGAAGCAGGAAAATCGTATTCAAAGCGACAGATGGCCATCCAGCCTCTGTTTAAAATCCTCCAAAGAAGGAGCTTCCACCACATTCGGAGACAGAAAGTTCCACTGCAGAACAGCTCTCATAGTTAGGAAGTTCTTCCTCATGTTCAGGTGGAATCTCCTTTTCTGTAGTTTGAAGCCATTGTTCCACGTCCTAGTCTCCAGGGCAGCCGAAAACAAGCTTGCTCCCTCCTCCCTATGACTTCATCTCATATATTTATACATGGCTATCATCATGTCTCCTCTCAGCCTTCTCTTCTGCAGGTTAAACATGCCCAGAGTCTGGAGATATTTACTGGTGGATGGTTGCAAACAAAAGAACAGAATAAAATAATTCTTCATTTGATGAGATCATTTCATTATTGAAGAAGCAGAATGACTTTTTGTAACCAAATAGCATCTGCAAAATGGAAGGAAAATGGAGGGGAAATGGAAGGAAAAAGGAAGAGGGGCCGACCAAGAGCAAGATGGATGGATTGCATCCTTGAAGTAACTGGATTGACCTTGAAGGAGCTGGGGGTGGTGACGGCCGACAGGGAGCTCTGGCGTGGGCTGGTTCATGAGGTCACAAAGCGTCGGAAGCAACTGAACAAATGAACAACAACAAGCACCTGCAATCAAATGAA